TTTTTTTTTTTTTTTTAATAGAGACAGGTTCTCACTCTGTCACTTAGGTTAGAGTGCAGTGGCATAATAGTAATAACCTAACTGTAATTTTGAATTCCTGGACTGAAGTGATCCACCTCAGCCTTCTAAAGTATCTGGGACTTAGGCATGTACCACTATGCCCACCTAATTGTTCCGTTTTTTGTAGAGATGGGTCTCATTCTTGCTTAGACTGGTCTTGTTCTCCTAGCCTCTAGCAGTTTTCTTGCCTCAGCCTCCCAAGGTGGTGTGAACCACCATGCTTGGCCACTTAAGTTGCTTTCATTCATTAATATGAATTCAAATTTTCTTCATGTCATTTCATGGCTTGATAGTTCATTTCTTTTTTTTTTTAAGTGTGGAATAATATTCCATTGACCTGATGTCCATTCACCTACTAAAGTATATCTTGATTGCTTCCAAGCTAAACATGTCTGTGCATGTGTGAACATAAATGGTAGACTCTTCCGTAGGAGCACAATTAATGCATCATGTGATATTACGAATAAGGCTCCTATAAATGTGTGTATGTGTTTTTATGTAGACATAAGTTTTCAACTCTTTGAGAGCCTGATTACTGCATGATGTGATAAGAGTATGTTTAGTTTTATTAGAAACTGCCAACCTGTCTTCCAGTGTGGTTGTACCATATTGCATTCTACCAGCAGTGAAATGTGAGAGTTCCTGTTACATACCCTCGCCAACATTTCGTATGGTCAGTATTCTGAATTTTGGCCATTATGTATAGTTCAGTGTTTGGAATCTTGGTATCTCATTGTTGTTTTAATTTGGATTTCTCTAATGATGTAGGCTGTGGAACAAATTTTCATATGCTTTTTTCCTATATGTATGTGTATACATATATATATATATATGTATATTCCCCCGCCATTATGTATAGTTAAGTGTTTGGAATCTTGGTATCTCATTGTTGTTTTAATTTGGATTTCTCTAATGATGTAGGCTGTGGAACAAATTTTCATATGCTTTTTTCCTATATGTATGTGTATGCATATATATATATATTCCCCCTTCCCCTTGGTGAGGTGTCTGTTAAGGTCTTTGGCCCTTTTTAAAATTAGGTTGCTTTTTAAAGAGCTCTTTGTAAACTTAGGATAATACTCCTTAATCAAATACATCTTTTGCAAATATTTTCTCATAATCTGTGACTTACCTTTTCATTCTCTTCAAAGTGTTTTTCGTGGAGCAGAAATTTTAGATTTTAATGAAATCTAGTTTATTAATTCTTTCCTTCATGGATTGTACCTTGGTATAAAATCTAAAAAGTTATCACCAGGCCTAGAGACAACTAGATTTTCTATACCCTTTATTTATTTATTTATTATTGTTATTATTTTGTAGAGACAGAGTCTCACTCTGTTACCCTCGGTAGAGTGCTGTGGCATCATACAGCTCACAGCAACCTCCAACTCCTGGGCTTAGGCAATTCTCTTGCCTCAGCCTCCTGAGTAGTTGGGTCTACAGGTGCCCACCACAACACCTGGCTATTTTTTATTGCAGTTTGGCCAAGGCCAGGTTTGAACCCACCACCCTCGGTATATGGGGCCAGCACTCCACCCCACTGAGCCACAGGCACTGCCCTATACCCATTTTTTAGTAGTAAATTAGTCTTTTTCTTTTTTAGATTCTCTTTTGTCTTTGGTTTTGCTTATTATAGTTTTACATGCAAATAATTTAAAAATTTTATGTGAAATTATTGAATTTTTATTACTTTTGAATTTTGTAGCTAAGATGATTTTCCATAATTCCCAGTAAAAGAAAATACATTCATTTTATTATTTTATGGCACAATTGATCTCCAAGTTTATTTTGTTTCATTACATAAAGAAACCAAGGTTCAGAGCAGTTTGTATAACATGCTGCTTTTTATCTTAGAATGAGATATATGCGTATATATGTGTACGTGTGTCCACACCTGGGTACTTATATACACTTTCATACATATTTGTTTGTCCAAAAGGAAAAGAAAAACAATGAAAAGCTAAAGCAAAAATTAATGAAAATGATATCTATGTTGGTCAGGGGGAGTATGATTGAGGCAATAGTGATGGAAGCAAGATTACGAGTATTTTCCTTGTTTTATTGTTTTGACTTTGGAACTACATAGATATTTCCTGTAGTCATAAAGCAAAATTAAATCAGAGTTAAATATAAGGCCAGGAACGATGGATCACGCCTGTAATCCTAGCATTTTGGGAGGCCGAGGTGGATCTCTTGAGCTCATGAGTTTGAAATCAGCCAGAGGAAAAGTGAGACCCCTCCCTCTCTTAAAATAGCTGGGTGTTGTGGTAGGTGCCTGTAGTCCCAGCTACTCAGGAGGCTGAGGCAAGAAGATTTCTTGAACCCAAGAGTTTCAGGTTGTTATGAGCTATGACGCCATGATACTCTACGGAGGGTGACAGAGTAAAACTGTCTCAAAAAACCCAAAATTAAATGCAGTAAATTTTAGAACTAAAAAGAAAATTAAACACATGAATTTAACTGTATTGAGTTGATGACTTATTTCTAATAACTTGGAAGAACGTATACTTCCCTAAAGGCATATATCATAGGGACATAAAAATTGAAGGAAACTTAAACAGTATCTGGTAATAAAATTTTAGTAATGTTGTGGGTTTTTTTTTTTTTTTCAGATTTAACTGGGGCCAGGCTCGAACCCACCACCCCCTATATATCCGGCCGGTGCCCTACTCCTTGAGCCTGTAATATTGGTTTTTTATTTTGAAACTATTATATATTTCATGATAAAGTAAATAATCATGTTAATATCTCTAACAACTCAAATTTTTAGCAGGTGGGAAATATATTAAATCCATATTAAAGTTGTATATATATTAAAATCATTTAAAAGGATTAGCATGAATTTATGACAAATGTTTTTCTCCTTCATTAATTTTTGTGTTTTCTAGCTCTGTTCATTGAAAATACCTAGACATACAAATAACACTATAATAGTGACCACTTATAGGGTCCAGACTATAGCCTTCAAATATCATTTTTCACTATTAAGATCTAGTGCTCTTTAAAGAAATGACTGGTTCTAATTTGGGGTAGAACACATAGCCTGGGACATCTTATTGTAACAGAAAGCAGGGAAGTTAAGGGTACCATGATTGTGCCATAGAAGCCAGTTCCATTTGCCAGAGATGGGAATTTTATCAAGAAAAAAGACTGCTAGGATTGCAGAACATTAAAATATGTTCAAGAGTTGAGAATCCTAAGGATAAAAATAAAACAAAAATCTACATCAGTCATCTTTGAAGGGTACTAGCAGTTAAAGTCATTGTTTTCAGTACTGGTAAATAACACAATCATGTATTTAGCCTATTCCTGTAGAAACCTTATTTTAGAGTAACTAATTAATGAGAGAAATTTTTTCTTTATGGAAAGAGTTTTACTAATAAGTGAAGAAAAATAACAGAATTAGACTGCTTATAACCTTGTCATAACCTATAGCCTTTATTAATTAAAATAATATTTCCTGGAAATAATTTTCAATGGCTACTAAAATCTTTGGGTAAAGCAATGGATAAGGGAAGATGATAATAGATGGATCCAGCTCATAACACCTGACCCCACTGGTCAAACTTAACTTTGCAGTGAGATAGCCAATTGTATACAACTGATAGGGTGCAAGAGGAATTGCACAACTCTTCAAAATTTCACTTCTTTAAGCCCCCAGATCTAACTACCAGATTGTACAACATATAACAGATAGAAGACATATTAAATGACATCTCAGGATGCTATTAGCCAAATCTAGAGTGCCAGAAATTCTCCAAGATAAATGACCCAGTTTCTTCAATATGAATAGTAGGCAAGATGAAACAACAGTATCAACCAATTGCACGATGTAGAACTTGTTTGGATCTTGATTTGAAAAAACAAATACCAAAAAAATCACTGGAAAAATGGGAGAAATTCGAACAGTGTTAGATAATATTAAGAAATTATCAATGTTTTATGTGTGACATTACTAATACGTTCATGTTACAGTTTTTATCTCTTAGAAATCAGGTTCAAATATGTACCAGGAAAATGATACAATCTCTGTAATTGCTTTTAAATAATCCTGTGAGGGATAAAAAGAGGTAACAATTATTTATTTTAGATAATGAGTAAATAGGTTTATTACACTATTTTTCCATGTTTGAGTATTTAAAATTTTCCATTATGAATTGATTTCAATTAAAAAATAGCTTTAGTTTTTTAATTAAAGTGAAATGTAATTTTACAAACTTCAAAGTGAGAAGCACTCAGACTTTTAAACCTGTTTTACATGTGTATGTACATTTGTACTTGCAGCAATGTTACAGAATTTATTCAGCATAAATGCTATAGTTGTTCTGGACCCAACATGTTCTCATCATAAAATTAGCATTAACCTAACAGTTTTCAGTATAAATGATTCTCACATTTCTAGAGAAACTTTTGAGGTCAGTCTAACACAATGTGTTCCTCCTGCTATCCATTCCTACCTCTCACCAAGCTCCTAATCTTTATTTTTCAGGTACAGCAGGTACAGACTGTGCAGCAGGTACAACATGTCTATCCAGCTCAGGTTCAGTATGTGGAAGGGAGTGACACTGTCTATACCAATGGAGCAATGTAAGTTTCCATGTAGAAGTCTTTTTAATAAATTCTTCCGCTCAGAGAAAAATCATCCTTTCTAACACATCCCCTTATTCTCAAATCCTGTCCTTCTTTTCACAGTAATTTTTATTAGTTAAGAGTTATTGAAGTTAACTAGTGTTTAACTGTGTTTAAATCTTTGTCTATGTTTATTTATAAAATATGCTCTCTGAAAATATTCCTAGTAAGATATTTTAAATTGTTATGTCTTTTAATAGCTTTTTCAAAGTTGAGGAAAGCTCATATCCTTGTTAGTGATTTCTGTATGTGTATTTAAATAATACCTTCTAAAAGCTATGTTTTTTGTTTTACATAAAAGGTGAATTTGTATGCATATGTATGTTTGTCTGTAAACTAATATAAAACTAGTATTTTAGGAGTTTTGGTTTTTTTCAGACTTATTAAATAACAAATTCTATGTAAAAGTTCCTGATAATGCCTGTGGTCCTCAACCCCCAGGATGCAAACTGGTATTGGTCTATTAAGAGCCTGTCTACAGAGCTCTATCTTATCTCTCAACAAAAATCCCCTGTCTGTAGAAAAATCCTCTTTGATGAGACTCGGGAAGTGGGCTGCAGAGCAGTAGGTGAGCAGTGGGCCCCAGAGTGAAGCAGCTTCATCTGTATTAATAATGGCTCCCTATCACCACCTGAGATCTGCCGCCCCTCTCTTCTTTCCCCACTGTCTGTGGAAAAATTTTCTTCCACGAAACTGGTCCGTGGTGCTAGAAAAGAAGAAAAAAAGGTTGGGTAATGTTGTGATACACAATAAATCTTATTTTCTGTCAGAAGTTACCCCCTCCCTCTGCCAACTGTCTCCTTGCATCAACAGTAGTATAGATTCCTAAATATATTTTATTTGGGCTTTTCAGTCACTTTGGATTAAAATTCAGGATTTTATTATAAAAATGGAACTAAGAATTACTTCAGTCATCAGTATTATTTGCAACTTGGATATTTGTTTGCAACCTGTTGGCTGTAGGGGTTTACCTGAAATGAATGTAAATTCTCTGACCCTTCTGCCTACCCGGGATTATAGCCTCTTCTTTCTTTATTCTCACTACACTACTTGTTTCCTTGGGTGATTTCATTCATTTCCATGATATCAACCTGTAAGCTCCATGAAGGCCAGGATTTTTTTCTGCTTGTTTGTTTTATTTTCCCCCTATAATAACTCCAACACGAGAGGAGTTCATGACACAAAAAATGTGGTCAATTGTTATCTTGTTACTTAAAAAAAATTTTTTTATTTATTTCAAAGTATTATGAGGCTACAGATTTTTAGATTACATTGTTCTCACCTCCAGGGTAAGGTTTCCACTTAGAATCCTATTTAACTGTGTATTAATTTTATAATTATGGTAAATTATACTTAAATATTTTGAGCTTTTATAGTCTTTCTGTTAATAATCTCATTCTTACTGAGTTTTGAGAATTTGAGGAAATATATTTAAAGAACCTAATACAAAGGCCTGCTGCACAATATATAATGAAAACTGAAAACTTTTCATTGATTCTGACTCTTCTCTCTTTTATTATTATGTTAGGTCACTGATTCTGTCTACATCACCAATGCCTTAGCACCACCTCCATAACAAATAAAATAAAATCCAACTTCCCACCTTAACATTCTCCCCATTCCTACTTCTCTAGCTTCACTTTCTGCCTCTTCCAGGAATAATCAATTTTGTGCATTTTCCTTAAATAGTCCCCTTTCATGCTTCTATGTTGTGGGACATATCGTTTTTTGTGCTGTTAGAGCATTCTGTCTTCTCTACTTTCTTCACAGTCCCCCAAACCCAGTTGAGTGTGATCTTTACAGATAGACATGTCATTCCCTCCTTTGTGACGTGGACCCTGACTCTCTCTGCAGTTAGCTCATCTTTGCCTTGGGAAGGACAGCACAGTATTCTAACTTTTACTACCAGCATTGTGCTGTAAATACTTGTTTCCCTGAAAGGTAACTTGGCCTTTTCTTATTTTAGTTACATTTTCTCAGGTGATTGGCACCTTATAAAAAGTCGTTGAATTTCTGTTATTCTATTAAACCGCTATCTCTACATATTTTAGACACACTATGAATATTTATTGACTCTACTTGTTTATATAGGTCCAGGGCCACTCAGATCCAGTTTTTCCCATCTTTACCATAAACCCAAAGTACTATTGGGTTGAAGAAGATTCCTGTTACGTGAACCTTTATGCTATCAGGGAAAACAAATGACTTTCTTAACAATGTTAGAGGTCACCCTGTTATCAGTTGTCATTTCTTCCTTGGCTGTGATGTGTAGTAATGGTTACCTGCAGGGGAATCTGAAAATTGGAATTTGTAGTTTTCATTTCTGTTACGGTAAGAGAAAAGGATAATCAGAATGGGTGTTGAGCGAGTTAACTGTATAGTATCTATCACAGTAATTTCTCATTTTGTACTGGTCTAAGTTAAAGTGGAGAGATTAGTCTATTCATTAGTCTATTCAAGATGGAGATCAATCTTTTCTAATCCAAAATCTGAAACTTTTTGAATACCCACATTAATGCTTAAAGGAAGTATTCATTAGAGTATTTCAGATTTTTGATTTTTGGATTAGAGATGCTCAAATGGTAAGTATACAATGGACATGGTACACAATCTGAAAAAAATTAACATCCAAGACACTTTTGTTCTCAAATATTTTGTATAAAGGATACTGAGCTTGTAACACTAGTTTATCAAAAGTGCTTTATATACCAATGAAAGTACTCAATAATGTTTATTAACACTCAATAAATATTAGTTATTGCTATAAAATTATGTACTTTAGTTATTTGTTTACATATTTCTATCATACTTATCATTCTAAATTCTTCTTAATATTTTATACATTTCTAAATTACCCTACCACTGACCTTAGGGTCTTCCACATATGTAAATATGAGTTGAGTGAATTCATTCCTTTATTCATAAAACCTTAGAAAAACAGCATTTCAAGATTGTTTTAAAAAATTATATGGCTCATTTAAGTGCGGAAATGATTCAAAATAAATATCTGGTGCCAACATGTATTTTCTATAGCCCGCTAGCTCAGTTGGCTAGATCATGACTAATGAGGTCTAGGTCATGAATTCATTTGCCACAGAGTCCAATTAGCTTTGATCTGGTCTGTGTGGGCCAGACTCCAACCAATCATGTCACAAATGTGGGCTTTTGGTTGAGAGGAAAGATGCGTCTTTAAAAACCTTTTGTTGTTACTATCAACTATAATTATTGACTAAAGTTCTATAGCATCATTTTCATATCATTTCATCATTTTCATATTAATAAGAAAATATCATATTACTGTGTATTATACTCAAAATTTTAATAGCTAGAGGACTATGACTATTTTTTCTCAAATATGACCAAAATTTTTTTTTGGCTTATACTATTTCATTCATTCTATATAATTTTCAGTGCTTTCATTTTACCACATAGAATTTTTATCTGTAATGTTAATTTTAGGGTTTTTATATTCCCCTTTTTATTTGATATATTTCCATGTGTGTTAGGAAAAAATACTCCATATTTTTCTGTTTTACCACACTGAATTAATAGCCAGTTAATGTTTGATCCCTGACTTGGATCACAGTCAGATTCCTACTTCTTTGTAATAATAAATGCTTTCTGCTAATGACACTTTCAGAACATAGGGACTCTGATCTTTACCATGAACTTTCAAGCACTCAGTACATGGCTCTACAACCTGTGCATGCTTTGTAAGTACTGGTTCACTGATGCTCTTGTCACTAATATCCCCATGTCACATAACCTTTATGCATGGGGTCTCATTCAAGAGGTGGTGGCAGCCCTCACAGATGCATGTCATCACTTATGAAAATGTGTAATCATTGTAATTTGAGATACTGAAGTGTTTACCTGGTTCTCCCTGTGACTATGGACAATTACTGCCAGCTTAACAGGCTTAGCAGTTTGAGTTAGTGAGCGAACATACATTTCAATTGAACAGTTGAGATTGCTTTATAATGCTGGCTGGCTGTTTTTGCTCAGGGGAGAAGGTAACTCAAATCACTGTTATTCACAATTGCCACTGTTTTGTCCTATTTTAGGAAATCAAGCTCTAAACCATTTGTGTATTTCCTTGCAATCATTCTTCTAAGATTTTTCCAAAGGCTTGATCATGGTCATCTCCATATCTACAAATTCTTACAACTTACTATCTTTAGTCGTTTATAATATTGGGATTAAACCAGCTGGGAAATATTGCATACTTATTATTTAGAAAGAGTCCATTTCAATTGAAATTTCTTAATGTAGTTAAGAAACCATTTTCTAAATAAAATTGTTTTCTCTCCCCCCACTCTTTTTTTGACTCATACTTTCTTCACTTGCTCCTACATCATGCTAGTCAAACTAGAAATAAAGATATCATGCCATATTGTGGCCAAATTAGAAAATCTTTATTTTAAAGTGTTTTCTTATATAAACCATTCTTTGAAGCTTACCCACCTACACAGACAGTCAATGCTTTTAAAATGCAAGTATTCCTTATATAGGTATCTGTTGTGATGAGGATTGACCAACCTTCTCTTTAGATTCTTACTAATCCCTATACAGAATTTCCCAAACTATGTTCCTCAAAATGTTAGCCCAACAGAGTTCTGTGGTTGCACAAGAGGGAATATACTGTATGATTGTGGGTCTTTAAAAGATTCTGTGGAGTGTAAAAGTCTTACAGGAATGCATCGAAGCACAGAATTCTTTTATCTGAGTAACATCTAATAAAAACACATGGTATAATTTGGAAGATGATATATTGACATTGAATCACTAATTCAGAATCCATAAGCATGTGGGATAAGATGTTAAAAATGTGGCCACGTCTTGAAAATCATGTAGTTTGTGCGTTTTCTGAACCTATCCAACTATTTTTTCTCATATATTTAAGTGATTAATGAGCAACCTCAAGGTCTTTTTTTCCTCTTTCAGTGAAATAGCGAGTT